CCTGCTGTTGGCTTTCCTCCGATGATCTGACCTTCTTATATAATCTCCACCACCTCAGGATGTGTCTTTATGGTTGATGAAGAAATTAGAAGCTGCTGATTGCTTCAGCTGGGGTTAAGTAACTTGCTGACATATGAAAATATAATGACGCTACTGACACCTCAGTCCTATCGGCCTACTTAAATCCAGTGAAGTGATATTCTCTGGCCAGCCAGTGTATAAATAGAAATGTCTTTAGACTGAGGTCCCTCTGTTTGTTGATTTTGCTGGAGAACCAGAGCTCGCAAGGAAACTGTGATGGTTATTAGAGAGGAAGGTTGAGATGTTCAGTCAGACCAAATTCAGCAGCAGGAGATTCAAAGCTGGATTTCTACACAACAAAGAAGAAGAAAGAAGCAGAGGAAGATGGAAAAGTTGGAAAATCAACCTGGAAGTTTCTCCAGAAGCCAGTGAGTTAATGACAGGTGTTAAAATTAAATTAAAATTGGGTATAAACTTAATATTGACTTATATTTCCCTCTTAATGAATCTGTTTATGAACTGATGTTTCATTTCTCATCCTATTTTCCAGGATATAACATTGTTTTCCTGATGAGTTGAGCTCAGGAATCCACAGAGCTTCAATTTGTCCTTTACGTCTATCGAGGTTTTTATTATTCAGGTTAAAGTGATCAGAAGATGCTGATCACATCAGAGCATTTCATTTCTCCTTCAGGACAGAGAAAATCCTCCAAACAAGATCTGAATGTCTGAGTCGCTCCAGAAAGTTTCCAATGTTTCCAAAGGAGAAGCTGGAGGAGAGGGAACTTTATCTTTACGAAGTTTTAGATTTTACCTTCAGAAAGAAGGAAATAAAACAATATTTGATTTAAAATCATGAAGAAAATCAGAAAATCTTCTTCCTCTGACTGCAGAATCCATCACTGACTCTGAGCTGTTTGCAGCAGCAGATAAAATGAAACATCAGAAAACTTAAAATATCATAACATCCAGAAACTGAATCAGAATGAATCAAACATGCAGCCTGGAAACTGTTGAATCGTTTTATTTTGCATTTCTGGTTCCAGGATGAAAATAAATCACAAAGAAAAAAGATCAGCTTTCCAGTTGAATCAAGTTCAGAACCAAACTGAGCCCCTCCAGTATAAAAAGTGATTACGGGTGAAAAAAATTACCAATGGTGAGTAAACTTGTGTACATAGTTGCAATTGAAAGGGACTGATTAATAGGGATTAATTGGAGTTTGAATTTGATCATTGATCTAAAGAGACAAAATATCAGACATTAAATGATAGACATGAGAAAATAAAATGAAAATCTTTCAGGTCAAAGGTCACCATCATGATCCAGAAAGAGCCTCTTTAGACTCAAACTGCTGCAGCTTCAACCACACAGCTCAGCTTCTCTTTTCAAACTGGTGTGTTCCCCCTCCACCTGCAGAGAGAAGAGATCAGATCAGTGAGTGTTTCCAGCTTCTCTCCAGCAGCAGTCAGTGACGCAGCACATCCAGTAGAAAGAGCAGCAGGGCCTTCAGTTTTGTTCAGAGCAGCTTCCTTTCAGCTCTCATCTTAACATGTTGCAGTGAACACACTGAGCTCCAAGCTCAATACTAAAAACTTTAATACATACAGCACTTGATGTCCCAATCCACAGCCACCCCTCTATGACAATTGGGGGTGGGGTTGCAGAAGCAAGGTCTCACTTACACCACTAAAATGGCAACTCAGCCCTAGATCTTTGTTTTAACCCTAATTTGACTGATGATAATACTGCCAACATCAGCTGGTCTCACTCCAAACATCTACTCACCTCACAAGTCTCAGTGCGTATGGGTCTCTCCGTAGCTGCAACAGCAGCTGAACTTGAATCTTCTTCAGGTTGTTAAAGCCCAGGTCCAGTTCATTCAGATGGGAGGGGTTAGCAACCACAGCTTGGCCCAGATAATCACAACTGGTGTCTGATAAATTGCAGTTCTCCAATCTGAATAAAGAATAAAAGATGTGAGCTGATGCCAACGTGCAGGTTAACCAGTCCAACAGAACCTGTTAAAGAATCTCATGAATATTAATTAATGTCTTCTAAGGACATAATCACTTTAGCAAAAAAAAAAAAAAAAAAAAAACGTAAAATAATCTCTGTCGCTCCAGTGGCCATCCCATCCCATGAGAATAGGACCTCACATGAAAGGTGGCAACCCTACTAACAAGTCAGTAAGTCAGTCAGACAGAAAGAGTCTGCAGTTTAGTGGCAACACAACTTCCACATCAGAAATAACTAAAACATGGTTACTTACTCCAGCTGCCCTAGGATGCAGTCAGGATTTTGTAGAAAATCCCAGAGCTTCTTCACTCCAGCATCTTCAAGGTCATTCTCACTCAGGTCCAGTATTAACAGTTTGGAGGGGTTGGACTTAAAAGCTGCAACCAGAGAATCACAGCTATCCTTCGTCAACCCGCATCGCCTCAATCTGAATATAGAATAAAAGAAGTAAGTTGAAGCCAATAGGACACATGTTAAAACGGAAATATCAACAAATAAAATGTAGAAATGTATTTGAATCTGAACGTAAAAGTCACAGAAACATGATGAACTGATGTCTCATATTTGATCCAATCAAATTGGTTTATAGAGTCCAAACCAGCAGAACCAGAACATGTTATCATGACATGCTAGAATATTTCATTTGGGTCTTCAGTGGTTCTGGTCAGGAATTAAAATGGACTTTAAGAACCAAAGTGTGACATCAGAGCTGTTAATGAATGCTGCTTGCAACTATGCAGAATGCAGAGAACTATGGGGTCAGAGTGATAGTTTCTCCATGAGTCAAACCACTGGCTCACTGGGCAAATTCCAGTAGAATCCAGTAGAATCACACCCACTAATGAACAGTCTAATGGCCAACCCCTACCCCTCATCACACACACACACACA